TCTAACTAAAAGTGTTGACAACTTACATCAGTGCTTTTATCAAGTGGAATCACAAAATTTATATGGGACTATAATTATGTTAAAACATAGCTTCTCTATGTTCTGCAATAGTACAGATTTGATGAGACATCATGGTATACAGATCTTCCTTGATTTACAATGGGGTTACAAGCCAATAAACCCATCGCAAGTTGAACATATAGTAAGTTGAAAATGCATTTAATACACCTACCCTGGGGCACCTGGGTGGCTCAGTCGGTTAAGTGTCTGCCTTCAACTCAAGTCATGATCCCAGGGTCCTGGGACGGGCCCTGCAGGTCGTACTCCCTGCTCAGTGGGGAGTCTACTTGTCCCTCTCCCTCTGCCCCTCTCTCTCATTCACACTCTCTCTCTCTCAAATAAATAAAATCTTTTTTAAAAAGTACCCCTAACCTACCAAGCATCATAGCTTAGCCTAGTCTATCTTAAATGTGCTCAGGACACTTACATTAGCATAAAGTGGGGCAAAATCATCTAACACAAAGCCTATTTTACAATAAAGTGTTGAATATCTCAAGTAACTTACTGACTACTCTTGAAAATGAAAAACAGAATGGTCGTATGGGTACAGGCTGGTTGTAAGTGTATGGGCTGTGTACCCTCGTGATCATGTGGCTGACCGGGGGCTGTGGTAGCCACTGCCCAGCATCATGAGAGGTTTGTTCAGCCCATCGTTAGCCTGGGATAGGATCAAATTCAAATTCGAAGTTCGGTTTCTACTGAATGGGTGTCTCTTTTGTATCATCATAGTCAAAAAATTGGAAGTTAAACCACAGTAAGTCAGGAGACTGTTGTACTAAGGGGTATAATTTTTTACTTGTCAGCTAATTTATTATTTTATTTTCAAAATCATATTTCCATACATCCTGGAAGAATAACTTTTAGTGGCTATGTGGACCAGTTTTCTTTTTTGCCACCTAATATATTGCTAAATAGCTGACTACAAGGCTCTTTCATTAATAGTAGTTGACAACCTAGAAACTATTGCTCAACGTACGTATTATTCTTTTTTTTATTTTTAAGATTTTATTTATTTATTTGACAGAGAGACACAGTGAGAGAGGGAACACAAGCAGGGGGAGTGAGAGAGGGAGAAGCAGGCTTTTCGCGGAGCAGGGAGCCCGATGTGGGGCTCGATCCCGGAACCCTGGGATCATGACCTGAGCCGAAGGCAGATGCTTAATGACTGAGCCACCCAGGTGCCCCAAGCTTTGCATATTTAATTATCCCATTTAAATCATCTTCATATTTAAGGTCCTGCATCTACATTTTCCTTTTTATAATGCAGTTGAAATAAAATCAAAGTTATTAGTCAGCATTGTTCTCAATATTGTTGTGTTTACACTTCCGATCCAGCTGTTAAACTTGACATACCTCTATATTTCTCACATTGTCTGTTTTCTTCTAGTGATGATAAAACAACCCAATATGAGAGCAATGTATACCAGTTCAATTAAAATGTTATAATAGTTACAAACTGGAAAAAAATGTCAGATCTTTATCTTTCCAAAAACTACCCTGCACATTCATAAATGATACTCAGTTGAGTCTTGACAATTTGCTGATCCAGGTAAAACATTGCAGTTCTTCACAACTAACTGTGCTTTCTATTAATATACAATTAAACTGTACACTGTTAACATCCCGATATAATGTTGATCGTATTAACCATCTTATATCAGAAAGTTCAATGAGAGTCCCAAAGCCAGCTACATAATTTGCAGGGCCCAGGGCAAAATGAAAATGTGGCACCCTGCCTCAACATGGGTAAGTCAATTCCCCCTTTCCAAGAGCCCAGACACCTCAACCCACCACCTCAACCCATGTGGGACAGGTGACCACAGGTGGAGTGTGAACAACCGTCATGGGACAGGGGCAGAAATGGGAAAGCCAAGTGACCCAGGGCACAAAGGGGTGGTAGGGAGTGGGTGACAGAGAAACTGTCTCAGGGAAGCAGGGAGGGAATGGGAGGCAGTACCATACCCGAGCCCCGGCTCTGAGCCCCCAGTGCATGCTCCATTGTCCTATCTGACTTCATGTTCAAAACACAAATTTACAAAGACAAAACTAGGAATTTCAAGATAGTGACCACAGAGCCTTAAATTCCCAGCATGGGATCCTTCTAAGTGGGAGTCCCTGAACAACCCTACTGGTTGCACACCATGAAGCCAGCCCTGGAGTTGTTAGTGAGCAAAATCAACAAATAACCCATTCCCGGCCAGCAACCGCTCCTATCACACAGCCAGTCTTCACGCAGCCAGTCATTATAGCGACAGGGTTTCTCACAGGATGCAGAATATCTGATGCTCTCTCACAGTCTATGCTTTTTCCTTCCTTCTGGTCCTGACCCACATGTCATGTCTAAGTGCTTATCTTTTTCAAGGCTCATCTTCCTGAGTTGGGAAGGGTCTGGAAGGCAGCCTGGGATGGCAGCAAGAATGGGAGAGCAGTCAGACAACCCTGGCTGGCCCCTCTCACATTCCCTACCTTAGGTACCTCCCTTCCTCTCTCTGGGCCTCTGCCTCCGTATTATGAAATTCCTCGTGTCATAATTTTGGCTTCCTTATTATTAATTACCAGTGGAAGGGTTAGACTAGGTGACCTTCCAGCTCTGTTTCCAGCAGGTGACCTCGAGGGAAGGCTTAGACTAGGTGATCTTCCAGCTCTGTTTCAGGAAGGAGACAACACAAATGGGTGTTTGGCAAAAGGCTTTTGACCTCTTGACTGTTTTGTCTTCATCTTTATTGGACTTGTTGTAATCAATATACTTTGATTCATCAAAGCCATATCTGAGCTGCTTGGTGTGATGTTGTTGCTGCATAAAAGCCGAAAGAAAAGAGACGTGAGTAATGTGGATGTGTGTAGGCAAAGGGAATCCTCGTTTATTTAAGGCCTAGCAGCAGATGGGTTAATTCCATGACCCCAGGTTTTAGAAGAGCAGTAATTAGTACCTGAGATGAGCTCTTTTATCTAAGGTGCTCAAAGGGCTTTGTGGTCATTAACCCATTAATGCACCTGCCTCAAGCCATCAGGAGGTCAGGAAGAATCTCCTTAGAAGACAAGCATGCCAGAAATGGAAACATCACCACAGTGAGGAGTGGCCATGAGTAACTAGCTGGAAGGACGGAGGAGGGGAAGGGGTCACCAGAACGGTTCTCTCGGAAGAATTAAATGGAAAATCCTCTGCTGTTCTACAGACAGCAGTTTAACCACTCACTAGGCTCTGAGTGAATTCTCATGGATGTCACATTTCATCATCTATTTGGAAAATCTCTTTACCCTTAATGTAAACCTTAGATTAGCTTTTACAGCTTCTGACAAACCACAATTATGCCTAAAGGAAGTAAAGGAGAGGACTCTCCTCCCTAAAATATTCTTCTCTCAAAGGGGAAAAAAAAATGGCTCTTTAAAGTGGAGGACTCTCTAAAGATAGAACGCCACTTCAGAATGAATTTGTCTGGGGTTTGTTAAGGTCCTGAGTTATTTGCAGGTGGTTTCCATTAAAAAGCATCTGTTGAAAAACCACACTGCTAAAACATACCTTCGCAAGGCCCGGAATTCGGTCATTAGACTCCCTCCTTCAACTGAACAGTCCACCCATCACCCAGGAGGTGCTCCCCTGGGGACCAGGTGCTATGAGGGCATAAAATGTGGAACCTGACCCTCCCCCCGCAAGCAGCTATAAATCGAATCAAGAGGATGAGGCTAATACAAATAAAATAAATTAGTAAATTTACTACTTATTACTATTTTAATTCATTTATTAATTTATTAAAAATGAATTGATGCAAATAAAATGGGCAGAAGATATGATTTCCATAATTGTGAATAGCACAGACCCAACATGCAGTGGAGGTGGTTGTAGGAGGTAATCGGTGAGGGCTGCAGAGATCAGGGGAGGCAGGAGAGCTCACAGAGGAGATAAGAGCTAAATCTTGGAGGTAAGGGAAGTATTTGGTTAGGAAACGGGATCAGGGAGAATAAAGCAAAAGGCAATTCAGGCCATGGACAACGTCTAAGAGAAGGTAAGCAGATGGCAACTTAGTTCCTTTATGAGGCAGTAGGAAAACCAACCTGGATAAACCACAGAGCCAGGAGACCTGAAGGAAATATGGTGGATGAGAAAGATAAGGCCAGATCACAGGGTGACTTGAAACCAGACTAACAGGTACTGGTTTGGGGTATCTGGAAGTCTTCTGTCAAAATGCAAATATCCAGGAAAAACCAAGGAGTAAATTGGGGTGGGGGGGTGGGGGTGCAGTCAGTATAGACTGAACACAACTATGGGCTCTGTCATACGCTGTAGCAGGAGAAACAGAATTTGCTACACCAATATCAGCTGGTAAATTCAACTGTGAGTTCCATCTTGGGCCCTGGGAGGGATGCCCCAATGGAATGAAACCTAGAACAAGTGCATTCTGACCGGGATGAGGAGAGGAAGGATAAAAGGAAATTACACCAAAGCCTTCAGCATCACCAGGAAGAGCTGGTCCAGGTAGGAGCCCACACCTGATGGACAGCCAAAGCCTGAGAAAAGACTTCCAATGGAGAGGGAAAGGGAGTAGAAGAGAAGACAAATTTCCCCTAACTCACAATTTTGCCAACTACTGGCCCTTCTAATGCACATGACCCTTCTTTGTGGCCCAGTAAAACTCTTAGTCCTTTGTTGAACGGATGCTTTTTTGGCTCTCACAATCAAAAATCGAGCTGTAGGGAAGACTCCAGAGAGGGATCTTTAGGGAGTAGGTCAGAAGAAGAATGACATGTCCCCATGTAAGGCGAACTGAGGGCCTCTTGAAGCTTCCTAAACACAGTGGAGTCTATGGAGAGGAAGCAGTCTTCCCTAAAGTCACCTTCAGCACCCCCTAAGGCCAAGGTGACTCTGGTCAGCAATGGAATAGAAAATAATTGTTCTCACCAAAGAAACCTCTGTAGAAAAGTTGCTGGGAAACTGGAATAGGTGTGTCTTTCTGACCTTCCGGTTCTTTTTATAGGCCTTGCAGGAACCTGAGTGAGGGCCTCCACTCCTTCCGCCCATTTGGGGAGAGATTAAAGAAGCTGAGATTGTCTCCTTCTTACTCATTGGCAGTTACAACCTCGCAGCCAGCAGAGCCTCAACTTCCAGCGTGGACACAGAGAAGGTAAGTCGGAAAGAAGGGGCCATGCCCGTAGCTATAAACCCGGACAGCTCCAGCCACCTGGCTTGGGAATAACTGAAGAGGAATCGAGCTAGGAGTATTCAGTTGCAAGGTACTTTTTTTCCTCACAAATAGGTGGGATTTTTTCCCTAGGCAACCTCAGGGAAGACATAGATTTTGGTGCTCAACTGTTGAAAAAGTTACCTGAAGGCAGGAATAATTTTGTATAATTCTTTGATGAACAAAGAGTAGATATTTAGCAGTAACATGTTGTGTTGGATTGACTTAGATTAAAAGAAGGAACAGCCATTAGAACTACAAGGAAAAATGATCTGCCTGTCTCCTTCAGGCAGTGCGGCAGTGTCTTGAATGATCCAACGATCCATTAATGTTGACAACCTTTGTTCTGGAGTCTGATATAACCGGAATCTCGTCGACCAGGCAAACGTTGTCACACACCCCATTTTATGAAAAAGATTCTGCCTTGGGTTTCAAAAAGCCTTGATATAGACTGTGACATGAAAATGGATGATGTATCTGGAATCTTCAGGTGAAGAGTATTCTGCTTTTCCTGGCAAGACAGAGCTAGGAGAGTTTTAAGGGTTTGATAGCTTGGGGCTCTTTCATATTTGGGAATGAGAGACATTATGGTGCCCCCACAGGACTAGCCAACAGGCATTCCTGTGTAAGGATGTAGTCAGAAGTTTGTCTCATCTTTCTTTTGCAGGGAAACAGAAGTCCATTCTCGTGAGGTCCACCCACAAGTCACCATGTATGAGGACTGTGTCAAGTCCACTGAGGACTATTATTTCGTCTGTGACAACGAGGGAGCATGGGGCATTGTTCTCGAGTCCCTGGCAATAATCGGCATAGTAGTTACAATTATACTACTCTTGGCATTTCTCTTCCTCATGCGAAGGGTTCAAGACTGCAGCCTATGGAATACCCTCCCCACTCAGTTCCTCTTCCTCCTGGGTGTGCTGGGACTCTTTAGCCTCTCATTTGCCTTCATTGCTCAGTTCAATCAGCAAACTGCCCCCGTACGCTACTTTCTCTTTGGGGTTCTCTTCGCTCTCTGTTTTTCATGCCTCTTGGCTCATGCCTCCAACCTGGTGAAGCTTGTCCGGGGTAGAGTCTCCTTCTGTTGGACAACAATTCTGTGCATCGCTATTGGTGTCAGCTTGTTGCAGGTAATCATTGCCATTGAGTACGTGACTCTCATGATGACCAGGGGTATGATGTTTATGCATATGACACCCTGCCAGCTCAACGTGGACTTCGTTGTACTCCTGGTCTATGTCCTCTTTCTGATGGCCCTCACATTCTTTGTCTCCAAAGCCACTTTCTGTGGCCCATGTGAGAACTGGAAGCAACATGGAAGGCTCATCTTCGTCACCGTGCTCATCTCCATCATTATCTGGGTAGTGTGGATCTCCATGCTCCTGAGAGGCAACCCACAGCTCCAGCGGCAGCCCCAGTGGGATGACCCCGTCATCTGTATTGCCCTGGTCACCAATGCATGGGTTTTCCTGCTGCTGTACATCATACCCGAGCTCTGCATTCTCTACAGATCGAGCAAGCAGAACTGCCCTTTACCAGGCAACACCTGCCCAGCCCCAGCCTATCAGTGCAGCTTCAGAGTGGAGAACCAGGAACTCTCACGAGGTACTTTCCCAGGGGACTCGGGGAGCAGGGAGGCTCTCCTGTGGGAGAAACAGGAGAGAAATCAAGAAACAGGATGAAACAAGAGGGAGCAGTAAGGGAAGGGTCACAATTTAGGTGGGTGACTTAAGAGCTCCGGCGTGGAGATAAAGACGCCCAGAATCAATGTTAAACTTTTATGAGAAATCGGTGCTTCCAAATACAGAAATTTGTGGGGAAGAGGCCAAGACAGAAATGAATCAAAAGCCCTAAATAAAGAGGGTGTGGCTCTGAGTGCTCATGCTGGGTAAAGAAAGGCACCCCCTATAAAGTGAGTTAACCAGCCCCAAATTAGGCTTAGACCATGCAATTGCATGACATATGATGCTAAGTCCAGATGTTTTGGCTATCGAGGGCACAAGTCAATCCCGGCAACAGTGATTGACTTTTTTTTTTTTTAATTTACGTCTTGAAGTTAATTTGCCCAAACATCATAGTAAACTGATTCATAGGACTCATCACCTCATTAACATCACAAAGCCCAATAACTTCTGGATTTCTACTTTTCAAACCATTCACTGCTTGAAAGCCTTCAAGGTTTACAAAAAGTGACAGGAAGAGCCATTGAATCAGAATTCTAATAAAGGCTCAGATGTGTCATCATTAATAGAAATAAAGCAACTTGCTTATGTGACATTTTCATAAAAATTTCTGGTCAGATTTTCATCGTTCTGTAAGACCAAGCCACCTGACTATACTTTGCTAATGAATAAAATATATTAACCATGACAACAGAAATGCTTGGGCCCTAACAACCTGGGGGAAATAGTGGCTAATTCTGGTTATCTAGAAATATGTCAAAACACATTCATTCCTTTCTGAAACATCTGGCCTATTATTCATAACCCAATATCATAGTTTTACATCAATTTTTATGTCTTAATAGGCATCTGATTCCTCACAATTTATTTCTAATGTGCAAAAATTATGTTATTTTATATATTGTATAGCACACATAATGTTCACCAGGCTCAAAAAAATTAATAGAAGCCTTCCCTTTAAGTGCATACACGTTTTTGAGCTGTAGTCTATGGCTAATTACACATTCAAATTAAAAGCTGTTCAGATAGATGCATCCATTAATTCTTTACAGTGCAGTTGACAGAGAGTCGGAAATTGATGCTCTACAGCCTTCCTATAACAGTCTTTCTTTGCTTGTTGATGCTTTTTCATCAGATCACTAAGGTTTGTGGTAGAATTGCAGAGTCGATCCCGGAAACTACTTCTCAAAGTTCTCACCAACAGACAGGATAAGACTTCTTGTGTCTGTTTTATTGTTGTCATATGTTTCCAGGAAAGAAAAGTCAGAAAGAGAGAGAGGAATTCTCAGAGTTTTATAATACCCCAAACATACTGGGATTTGTAACAATCAATATTCCATACCCCCGAACACAAGTGTTTCAAGTGTGCTCAGGAATGTCTTGGTGGCAGAGCAAGGGCGTGCAAAAGCACGTTTCCTGGTGCTATCCTTGTTGCTCATGCATGGTTAGAAAACCCATTTCTGAGCAGGAAATGGCCTGCCAGTGACAGTCATTGTCAATGTAGTTAGATGTTTTACTAAAAAAAAAAAAAAAAAAATCAATAATGAGTAAAGAACATGCAGATTGCTCTCCAAATTGGGCAGGATAACCAGAAACTTAAACTTGGATAACAGAATCAGAATTTAAGTTACCTGGGGAAAATGCAAATATCCAAAATTAGAAGAATGATTAACACTCAGTACAAAATACAGGATTACGCCAAGCTCGGAAAAACATACAACACAAGACAGATAAGAGCCAGACAAGTAGAGTGTGATAACAGGAACCTATAAAAACCTAAGTGTGTCCTGTAGGTCACAAGCTGGCAAGAGGAAAGCAGCTTACCACTGTCTTTGTTTTCATCGGCTCAAAAAACAGTCACAGTACCGTATCAACACACATGTGGTCAGCAAGAACAATCAGGCCATTGTATCGGCACTGGTCAGTCTCCAAGGAGAATACCCATTCCAGTTCTGGGATCCGCCAGTGAGAAGTGTGGGGAACTTGGGGAGGCTAAGGGAGAACCACAAAGCTAACTAAAGAGTTATAACATCCGACCAATGTGGAAAGGTTAAGACAATGAAACAGGTGGTAGTTTGTAATGTGCCTTCGTCATAGACTATTCAAGTTCTCTCTCTAAATTCTGTACCAAACATGACATTTTGTTCGAGTCCATGAGGCATGCATTTGTCATGTGACTCTTCTGATGAATACTGCTTGTAGCTGACTCCGGTCACATAATTATTTGATTTACCACTGGGTTGTGGGACCAGAATTATTCATCTGAAAGAGTAAGACAAGTGGAGTTTAGCAGGGAATTTCAAGTATGAAGACCTCTCTCAAAGAAGCTGTTGTCCTGTTGCCTTCTGTTTCCAACTAAAGACAACATGTAGAAATAACTCAAACCAAAGCCTGAAGGATTAGATTAAAAGTGAAAATAAGAGTTGGTAAACAGTGAAATAGATCTGCAAAGGGGATTAAGGACTCCATTTCCCTGTGAGTCTTTCAAAAGAAGATTAGGCTTCATCTCCCTGAAGTGGCTTATGGACTTAATTGCAAAATCTAAAAACATCCGGGTGGAGAATGAAAATGCATTCAGGCATGTTACTACAGGACCCCAAACAAATGGGCATAAATATTCTTTGCCCTCTATTATAAATGCGTTCCTAGAAAGCTGTATATTGATTGCACTTTTTTATTTTTTTTCCATTCAGTACGAGCCCTCTTTAATACCCATCACCAGGCTAACCCATCCCCCCAGCCCCCCTCCCCTCGAGAACCCTCAGTTTTGTTTCTCAGAGTCCATCGTCTCTCATGGTTCGTCTCCCCCCTCCGATTTCCCCCCCTTCATTTCCCTTCCTACTATCTTCTTTTTTTTTTTTAACATATAATGTATTATTTGTTTCAGAGGTACAGGTCTGTGATTGATTGCACTTTTTAAAAAATCAGTTGTCTTTTTAACTGAGAATTTTAAATGCAATATAATTTGTGGAGATCTTAGATATGGAATATCAGCCACAGTTCTCTTTTTTTACAGAGGGAAAGCTCCTGTTCAGATTATCGCTTACTTGATCTGCTTTAGTGTACTTAGGATGTTGTTATGTCAAGTTTGCTAAAAGCAAGACCCATGTATATTTTAAACTATCACGTTGCTATGGGCATTTTTTTCTGTCCATTGTTTGAAGGTATACAGACAAACCTAGTATGATTCTTTTTGAAGGTATTAAGACAAAAATAACAAGTCTATGCAGTGTAAATGGGGGTCAGTAACTATAAAATGATGTGAACCAAGAGAATGTTCTTGCAAACTTAGGTCCATCAGTTATTTTCATTATAGCAAATGCCAGGTTATATATATATATACACACATATATATGTAAAGGAATTTTTTAAATTTATTTATTTGAAAGAGAGAGAGAGCATGAACAGGGGGAGGGGCAGAGGGAGAAGCAAACTCCCCGCTGAGCAGGGAGTCCAACAAGGGACTTGACAGGACCCTGGGATCATGACCTGAGCTGTAGGCAGACTCTCAACCGACTGAGCCACCCAGGTGCCCCGCAAATACTAGCTTTTGCTGGACAGCCTTTTTTGACAATTCTCAGTATTTTGTTTTTCTTCAAGGCACCCCCCCTTCCTAAAAGAAACCCAATTTCAATGGTCCCAAGCAGTGTAATTTTTGTTTGTTCTTTTGCAGGAACAAATCAAAAAAACTGCTGTTTTATCACCCTCAGGAGCTACAGGTTACAGAGAGAAGTGGCATAAAGTAGGGAAGAAGACAGTGAGTCTGTGCAGGACTTGTTTGGTCTGAGGACAGATAAGGCAAACATTCAACATTCCTAAAGATGCAGGGAGCGTGAGGTAATTGGGCAGCGCGGGGCAGCAGAAAGAATACAGAATCTGGGTGCCCAGGCTTTGAGGCTCAGATCTACCTCCTGCCAACTTTGAGGCCAAACCAAGCTCCTTAACCTCTAGGAGCTCAGGCTCCTTGTCTTTAAATGATGGTTATAATGTCCCCACCTCCTCCCTGTATAAATGGAAGGTCTTCCTTACTCAACTTGGATTTCATACCATGAGGTGGTTGCAGGATTAATAGAAACAACCTTTTGGTAAATCCATGAGCAACAACTAGTGCTGGAGAATTCTGGAGAAGGAGGCTTCTCTAATTTATGATCTGGTCTGATGAGAATGTTGGGTGAATGTTGGTCACCAAGGAGCTGAGCATGAAGGAGTCTCATTATGCCTCAAGGAACAAAGTTAAGCCAAGAATTCAGTTCATTCTGCCATGAAAGAAGGAAGGGCATTTCATATTTCACAGGATCCAATCCTCTAAAAAATACCAGTAGGAGGATGATGTCAAAGCATCAGTTATGACCACACCACCGGCACCCCCGTGGATGTTAATATGCAAAGTATAGCATTGTGGTGTTTTCTGTACATCATGCCCTATTCGAAGGGCCGTATATGTATTGATTGACTTAATCTTTAAGACAAGACTATGAAAAGATTTACTATTATGATCATCATTATCCCTCTTTTATTCCCATCAGGAAACAAAGGCAACCAAAGGTTAAGGAACGGGGCCCTAGGTCACACGGCTAGCAAGTGAGAGAGCCGCTAAGCGTGAACACTCGGGGCGCAGCCACATCTGTGACCATCAGACAACGAATATGTATGGAGCGAGGGCCTGGCCTTAGAGCAGACTTAGCTCCTGTCTTCATAGAGCCTGCAGTCTTGTCAAGGAGCCTGACATTAAACAAATAACCGTGCATGTGATTATTCTATGACAGGAGAAAATGGTCTCTAGGGATCTTTTTTATTATGTCTGGTTTTTTTAGGCTGAACCAAAGCTTGCAGAGTATCAAGCTTGAAGGGACTTTAGAGGTGATCTAGGTAAGGCCTTTTATTTTCCTGTGGAAGACAGTGAGGTACGCAAGGTCACACAGGTAATACTAAGGGGGCAAAGACCTTGACCCACTGCAAGCAGCACTCTTTCTCTAGAAGGTGATGACCAATGTTCAGCCTCTTCAATCACTAACCACAGATGTGCCTCTCCTGAAAACACAGACGTTACCCATAGCCAACCTTCCTCATAAGCTTTAAAAACACTTTTTTAAAATCATAGATTAAAAAAAAAACCAAAACAGCCTCAACTGAGAATTCCTCTTTAAAGGGTCAAGAGCCTCTTTGCAAGCCCTCGGGTCTTCTCATAGTCCTCGTGTGCTGTTTCCAGGTGAATCTCTGACACTAACCCAGCCCTTCCCATCTTTGGCTTTCAGCCCGAGACAGTGATGGAGCTGAGGAGGATGTAGCATTAACTTCATATGGTACCCCCATTCAGCTGCAGGTAAATGTGCTCATCTATGATCACCAAGGAGGGACAGAGCGAGTACTCCTTCCTTAGGAGAGCTGTCAGGCTTCATTTCCAATGTCTGTACTGACCTGAGAGAGGAGAGGTAGGGCAGGCTCATCCCCACAAACACGTGGAGCTTGAGCCGTCCAGATATAATCTGTCCCGGGGCAGGACAATAAAGGCAAGACCTGCCTTTGCCTTTGCCCAAGCCCCTCCTAATCCCACAGCCACGCCATCAGCAAAGTACTCTGCTACAGGTGAATGTCGCTGGAAAGAAAAGGCAGCTCGAAAGGTTGGTGTGAATGTGAAGAGGAACAGGCTCACTGCTTTTTGCCTTGGGGACAACAGGGAATTGTAAATATGTATGAGGTCAGATCTGTTTTTAGTATCTATCAGTTGTCTAAATGAATCCCCTGAGCCCTGCTGGCTGCCTCTCTGAGTCACAGTCTAGCTCCTGCAGCCCAAGCTGCCCCTGCCAACTGGGCTAGCTCTGTCCCCCTCATCACCAGATGGGTGTAACCGATTTTAATCCTTTCAGGCAAAAGCAGAAGGAGCACAACTGAGCAGAATTGGAGGTGACGCATTTGCGTCTGATGGCTTGAGGGCATACAGATGCAGACAGCCGAAAATATCACACTGGGACACAATTCTTATATTCTGGTTCCCATAACTAAAATCTGAGGGTGGAAGTCATGCTCAGACTGGTTGGTCAGTGAACCGTACAAAGCAATTCTAACTAGCTAATCCCTCTGGTCTGTTATCTGAGACTTGGCCTATTCCTGGAAGGATGGCTCACAGACCAGGACAGAGATATATCATTTGCTGTAGTTAACCCTCTGGAGGGCATTAACAGAATGAGAAAATCTTTATCATCCTCTCCAAGAATTTCTTGGATTACTTCAATTTCCAGTGATCAGCTATTCAAGAATCTTGCAGAAAGATCCTTGCTGCTGGTTAAGAGGGAAGATGGTGAAAAACAAAAAAGTTTTGATGTGGGTAGCCTCCATATTTTTTTTCTTTTATTAACAAAGGATTAAGTGATGCTGAAATGATATTTCAAACATAGCTCTGGAGAGTATCATCCCTTGCGTTGGCTCAGAAAATTGGCAATGGCCTTTCTTCTTTTCCAGACTGTTGATCCCACACAAGAGTGTTTCATCCCACCGGCTAAACCAAGCCCCCAGCAAGATGCAGAAATTTAAGTCCACAAGAAACATGCATAGTGGAAACCCAGAAGACCATCCTAATGTAGCAATAATGGGTCGCGGGGGAGCCCAGAGTCATGCTGCCAACAAAGTACCGGCTCATCCTTTCTTCCCTGCTTCCTAGCCCTTTCCATCCATCTGGACCCTTCATCAGAAGACTACCCTCTCAAGCATAATTACAATCTTGCTGGCCACCCTACCTTGACTATGTGTCTCTTTCTTCTTTCGTGCAATTGAAAGACTCCCTTCCTTAGCAATGAGAGAACACATTGGCACCTCTTACTAATGGGGCCGAAAGACTTTGGTCTGAAAAAATTAGGGTCATGTTACTGTGACAAAATATAGAGGTTAGTAGCAACTTACTCCTGGATTACTTCTGTAGTCATTTTTATAAAGGGCCCCTAAATATGATTGACCCAGAATTTGTGATAGAAGTTGTAGCAAAATCTTCAGATCTCCATGATTGGGCATTTTATTTATTTTTTTAAGATTTTGTTTATTTATTTGACAGAGAGAGAGCACAAGCAGGAGGAGGGGGAGGCAGAGGGAGAAGCAGAGTCCCCACTGATCAGGGACCCCGACATGGGGCTCCATCCCAGGACTCTGGGATCATGACCTGAGCCAAAAGCACCCACTTAACTGACTGAGCCACCCAGGCTCCCCTCGATTGGGCATTTTAAATAACACAGATATTTCATGGCTTGCAAGCTGGTAGGCTTTCTCCCGTGGTTTCAGCACCCCATGCCAGCAAATGTGGCTGAGGTCAGTGACCTACTTTGTTGAACCAATAACAGCAAAAGAAGAGCCACCCTAGTTGATGCTCATAAACGATTTTAGATGGTGCATATAAAAAGCAGAGTCTGTCTGTCTTGATGTTTCCAATGAACTGATGCCTCTGCACTAATTACTCTGCTTTCATTCCTCCTGCAGCCTCACATCCTTCCCAATGGATCCATCTGTTCTCATTACCCATGTGTTGTACATAACAGGTATAACAGGACCAGAGTTAGAGGTGTGCCACCAGAAGGGTTCTTAGGGTCTAATTCAACCCTCTCACCTTACAGATAAGAAAACGGGACCTTAGAGAAATGGAATGACTTGCCCAAAGTTTCACACAGTAGTTAGTGGTAGTCCAGGTCTTCCAACTCCTAGGCCACTCCTCTTCCCATTCAACAAGGCTTCTCCATGCCTATATTTCTGTATTAACAAGTACAGTGTGGGCCCCCTGAGAACCAAATGTGATAGTTCAGACCAGTGAGTGTTGAGTGCCTCCTATGTGAAAGCAAACTGAAAAATACCTAAGACTCCATACATGAAAAAAAAAAAAGCCTTTTGTATGAGCAACATACAGCATGAATTGCTCAATACCACGAAGCATTTCCCAAGCACCCACGAGGTACCAGGAGCTGTTCTAGGATTGAGCCCTAAGCAGATAAGGCAGACAATGCTGCTTTGGCGGAGTTTGTGGTTTTTTTCTGGGGGAGATAACACAATGCAGAGAATTTCAGGAACACAGCTCCCTCATTTTACAGATGAGGAGAGATTTGGCCAGAATATGGCATGCTAGTGGCAGAATCGACTAGAATCCAGATCCCCAGCTACTGTTCAAGTGCTCTCTCAACCCCTACACAATGCTCCAACATTTCATATTTTTTCTGCTACACTCAGCTCCTCCTTTTTGAAATCTGTGCGCTGAGCAATGTTCTCAGAACAAACCAGTATGTAGGTAAATGGCCGAAGAGTTTGACCTTCTGCCCTTATTAGTAATACAAAATTGAGGGAGAAGGTTTAAACATTAAGACTCTGACCTATCTATTAGGTGGCATACTATTTAACAAACCACATAAAGAACCCAACTTGAGTGGGAAAACAAACCATGGAAACTTACATCTGCTCTGGAAGAAAATCATCATCACTGATCCTCCTAGTTTTTAATCCCCAAAATGATGACAGTAACACCTCCAACATAATTGTGCTGTGTTGTGTTGTGTTGTGTTGTGTTGTGTTGTGTTGTGGACAGGAAATGTTTCTGTTGAGTTGGCAGACATATTTTAATAAACCCATGAAAACCGTAGATGATGGCCAATATTGCTTCCCAAAATGTTTTTCTTAATATTAGTAAAGGTAAAATTGAACCTCTTTGTACCAAACTTTGGACTACGTAGTAATTAGATTTGGGGGGATTGTAAGTTGGCAAGTGTCTCATTCCGGCTGTTTCCAGAATGGAGTTGTATTGAAAGGTTACATACATATGGCAGCAGGGAGACAAAACTCTCTCTGGGAACCAGAACAGCCACTCAGCCAGCCTCATGGAGATGGAATACTGTCAAGTATTGGTAGGAGCATGCTGTCCCCACCCCAGCCCTGCAATTCCCCTCAGACATTCTGACACTTTCCTCACTGTCTCAATTTCCTTTTGAGGTATTTTCACGTATCCACCCACTACCAGCTGACTGGTTCTCTCCCCATGTGTCATATTCAGATTTCGAGAGGGAGCCTGAATGGTCCAGCTGATCATCACTGCTTCTGACTGGGAGCTCTCTGGAAGTGGCCCTCTTAATTTACAATCAGCCTCTGGACCGACTGCCCGGGGGTCCCATCCCCACCCGTGGTCCATTCAGCTATGCCTGGCTTGGTCATGGGGTACAGACTTGGTCACATATGTCTGCTCCCTCAGCGAGAAGCTGTGGGCAGGGTATTATCCTCTAGGCCACAAGGCATAGCATGCACCATGAGTGACCAATACAGGAGAGATTAATCCAGAAAAATATGATTTTGTGAAGTTAAAGAATATTTTAATGAAAATACAATTTCATTTCTTTGAAGTTTATGCAGCAATTCACATAAAGCTAAAAACCCCAATAGTCTTCTAAGTCAAGATCCATAAGGAACCACTTAAAAGAATAGATAAAACTATTTGTGATGAGCATATTGTAGTCAATTACTCAATTCAACAAGTATTATTTGAAGATTTAAACTCATTTACTTATATGTCCTGGGTTGTATAATTGGAGAGGTGCTAATTCTCTTAAGTATTTTAGATAATCCTCTTCTGATTTTTATTTATTTATCCAAAAGGAAAGGTATTGGTGAAAACCGTTATTATAAAATATCTCCTTGGTGGGGCACCTGGGTGGCTCAGTAAGTCTGCCTTTGGCTCAGGTCATAGTCTCAGGGTCCTGAGATCAGGCCCCAAGTCAAGCTCCCTGCTCAGCAGGGAGTCTGCTTCTCCCTCTGCTCCTCCCCCTGCTCGTGCTCTCTTTCTCTCTCCCTCCCTCTCTCTAATAAGAAATAAAATCTTTAAAAAAATAAAATAAAATATCTCCCTGGAGTAATGTGGCTGGTTGGCTCAGTTAGAGCATGATGCTAATAAAATACCTGTAGAGCTAACATATCCTTCATCTTGATGATTTTTTCCTGATCCTAAAGACCACCAAAGATTTGTTTCTCTCCACATTAAATGTCATGCTCTCCCCATAAGCTTAAAAGGCCTTGCAGATATCATGCCTTATTTCAAGCTGTGGTCTGGTCAGGCTAAAATTTTCTCACTCTATCATTATTCTTTCTCTCTTCTTTTAAATAAATGATCCCTTTTCCCAGGGTTATATCCACTTCAGACCAGCCAGATTCATGCTTTGTTGTCCTTCTTTTTCCTCTTTCCACAATCAGTTCCAAATCTACCTTTTCCCAAAAATTTTCTCTGATGACATAAGGACCCCGGGTTGTCACACACCAAGCCCTTAAGTTATAGCAGAATGAGGTTTTCTTTTTTCCCCTCAAGTTCAGATGGTAAAGAGGATACTTCTATAGTCTCTTCCTCAGATTAAACCTAATCATCTACTTTAAAAGCACATAATTAATGAGCAATAAATTCAAAATCTATTTGTGCTTCCTTTGGTACAAAAGCCTCTGTATTTTTCATGTAAAGACGGCGCTTCTCAGTTAACATTCAACAGGGACAATCGTGAAGACCTTGACTTCTGAGAAGACATGCTTGAGGTCTCTGTAAAGACTTCTCCTTGGAGTCGTTGAAAATATCTTCATGGCTCAGGCCAGTTCTAAGCTGTTGTTCTCCTGTGGGAAATCATATTTGCTGCTCTTCACAGATAGATGAGTTAGAATTAAGTTTACATTTTAAAACGGATCAGAACTTATTTATTCAAAGGACTTCAACATGGAAGACTCAGGAAGCAGAAGGATGCATCTATTGCTGACATTATTAGAATGCCTTTCCTGGAACTGCCTTCAAGAAAGTCTCAAGAAAATCAGTGGGACTGGATTACAGTGATGGTCCAATTATCAGATTTGGGAGGTGAGTTGAATGATGAATTTCCAATATTGATCTCACCCATCACTCGAACACCAAGTGCACTCTGGAAATGCCATTGGATATCTTTCTGGATTTTTCTAAAGATGGTGGAACTATTAGAACTTGAACCACATTCAGTAAGTGGTTAAATCAAGTCTAGGTTTGCAAAAGTTGCACCAGATTGCCAACAGGTTGAGTCCTCCAGGTAGGCTTTTTTTTTTTCTTTTTTAATGTGAAAACTAAGAGGATTTTATTGACTTTTATATGTTCTTAGAGAAAACCATTCATGTGTAAAAGTTTGACATTTGATAGGAGATATATTCACACTTTATTTTACACATAAATTCTCTCATTTGGGGTCAGACATAATTTTTCATTTCAACAGGACTTTTACATGATTATAGTCCCAAGCTCTTGAGATAATTGCATCATCATAGGGTAAAGGTAAACTAAACTGGTAGGGATTTCAGTCATATCCGTTATTGTCCTATTACTATAGCATAATGGAGTACATGCTGTAAGCAGATACAGAGGAAGCTATCCATAAAAAAAGGCATAAAACACAGGTAAAGAAAATATACAAATTATAGTATTGTGTATATATTTTAATTTATGGAACTGACATTTTTAACTCACTAACATGTTCTTTTATGTGATATAAATTCACCAAGGGAGTCTGCTTTTAAAATTTCTTTTTAATGTTGCAAGGGTCTAAAAAAAAAATTTTTTTCTTTTTAATGTGAAATTTACTGCTTAATCTCTTTGTAAGAGTCTACAAAATTGCACATCTTCCTAAAACAGGACCCACCTGAATATACAAACAGGGCTGGATTTTTAAAAATATATTCTACAAAGGGAGCTTTTTATTGTAAATCCCACCCGGACTTTAT